CATCTTGATTCCTGGTCAACAGTGATCGGAATCTTAAAAGCACTATGAGCCGTTCTGCCATTCAATAGCAGAAGGGAAGCTATACCAGCCGCTGAAACTGCCTGGAAGCTGAAGTTGTAAGTGTTGCAGTAGTGCAAGACGCAGTTTAAAACGAAGGTTTTCCCGGTGCCGCCTGGGCCGTTGAGAAACGCAAGGTACGGCGATCGGTCGTTGAGTGCATCAATAATAGGCTTGACAACCGATTGCTGTTCAATGGTGAGGAGCTCCAGCATCGCCTCGAATTTGTGATTGCTCTCCAACGGATCAACACCACTGTTGCGATCAGTCCTAGCCCCGTCTGGAAGTCCCAATTCAAATAATAACCTTTGGTCAACCAAATTTAAGCCTACAGAATCGAGACCCGACTCCATTGATACCAGGATTTTCTCTAGCAGATATAACCCATAATTATGAATCTGCTCAGGTGAAGGCACGATGCCAGGATTCAATTTTTTGATTTGATGTTCGCAATCGTCAGATAGATCTTCGATATGCTGCAACCATAGTTCAGTAGGGTTGGCTGGGGAGCTATGCACCAGAATGATCGCCAGCATTCGACGTAGTTGGTTTCCAGTCTGCCACACCGCCGCTTCGTTAAGACTGTGATGATAGTGCCGGTCTGAAAGCAGAAGCCCAAGTCGGTCAGCAGCTTCACGAAAAGTGCTGTGGACGATTCCGTCGACGGTTCTAAGCGCTTGAAACGATTGTGGTCCCTTGACATTTGATAACAACATCCTGAGATAATACACATCACCACGCTTGATGCTCGCAAAGTGGACTCGGCCGATGGCGATAGTTTGATTCCCGCGGGGCTTTAGCATCTTGGCTTTCTGATCCCATGTGAAATGCCGCGGGACCTCTTGGTATTTGAGGTCACGAATAGTCCCTTGAGTATATGGTAGCTTGGTGTTTGCTCGGCAATGCCTGAAAAATTCTGTAAGAGTTGTCCTCTCAGCTCTTCCACTCTCGATCGACTGGCGCAGCCCGGCCTCGTTTTGAAAGTATACAGTCTGACTATCTTCCAAATGTAAAGCAAGGCGCTGGACTGGTGGGTAGCGTCCCGAGATAGGGAACCTAAGAAGCCGCCATATGGCTGTTTTAAAATGTTAATCATTGAATCGCTACATACGAAGACTTGAAAGCTCACCTTCTGGGGCACTGATGTACCGTGCATTTAGATAGGCCAAAATCTCGTCCTTGTTCGCCTCATCCTCAATGTTGGCCATCGTGCGGTCATGGCCCTTCAATATGTACTTGAATAAGTACTTGATCGCTCGGATACTCCCTGCAACTTCAACATTAATGTGACAACTAAACTTGAGCAACAGAAACCTGTTGTATGGGACCACGCTGCTATTTTCGTATCGCATGGTACCCTTATCGAAATGCCGCCCGTTGTTAGGCCTCTTGTAGGTAGGATACGAGTTCTCCGGCATCGATGTTGTTTCACAAAAGGCTCTTGGATACCCTCGAGTACATTCGGTCCCATTCCAGCACGGGTACTTCTTGCAAGGACCATGCAGCATGTGCTGCGTCACCAAATCAAACAACGTTGATTCAGTCTCAGGATCAGGGAGCTGTGCCGAGATCAAGCAATCAACATCGTCCGCTGAAACCGGGCGCGAGTTGGAATCGAGAAACAGAATCAAGTGACAGTGCGGCAGACCCCGCTTTTGGAACTCGATCGAGTGGACGTAAGCAACGCACACCCCTAGCCGTTCGCGCTTGATCAGGTCGTCAAACAATTCACGCAGCTTAAGAGCAAATACTCGAACCACTAAATCAGGTCGGTCCTGGTAGATTTGACCTGGTCCTAATTCCGCCGTGATCTCAGGCCACTGAGGATTAGCCGTCATTGTTATGAATAGGCTGGGGTTGCCATACTCGGCCACAAGACTCATGGCGTCCTGGTATAGTTGTTTCAGGTGTCTTGGGCCTCCAATGAAGCTTGATGGCAGGACTATCCGTTGGCCGATCACTTGGTCCTCGGTTTCATTGCCTAGTGCTTCAATGGCCCCTTGATACACCTCGGCGCGAATTTCGTTTTGGTGGAACCTCAGGAACTGCAGTCTGCAATGTTCCACGCACACGTACATGTCGACGGCGAACTCTTGGAACAGCCGTCCAGACGCCAATACGACGGACCACTCTGGGCGCTTGAATAGCAGGTAAGCAAACCAATCTAAGTTCGAGACGTCTCCTTCAGGATCTACATGTTTAGAGACAAATCAGTGAGGGAGCAAAGCGCAGTGAGCAGACATAACATACTTGTAGGTGTCGGATTCTTGAAAAATTCGTGCCACATTTGAGACCCGTAGAGAAACAAAAGGGGATACCTAAGTGCAAAGTATCCGGTATGCAACTCAGAGATTTGTTGCCTTGTACCACACTGCCTGACTAAGATGATGTCGCGTTGTTTCGCTCCAACCCTCCCGTCACCTTCAACAATCGCTGCTACTTCATCTGCCGTTGGCAAGTTATAACGCCGATGGTCTGATCCTGGAGCCAGCACGGTTTTGATCCTGAGGGTACGCACGACCCCTTCGTTACAAATGGCCGCCGCGGATTTGAAAACTTGTGCATAAGGAGTATGTCGATACATAAACTCTTGGAATAATAGTAGAATCTCGGGATCCAGACCTTCCACGCCAGAGCGTCGAGCCCTTAGTCGTGCTTCCGCTTCACCACCACCCCCATAAGTAAAGATCTGACCAAACCCCGGGTCTTGGCCTTCTGGTTTCATCAATGATGGAATATTGTGGGAGAGTTGACCACTGATTTTAAAGATATAATTATCGGATCCACCAGTGACTTCAGGAGCAAGTGTCATACCGAGCGAGGTGAAAGATAAGGCATTGTTATATTTTTGAATCTTGATGCGGAACTTTTTCGAACCTGAGACATTCGTGAGTCAGTTTCAAACAGAGCAGAACCGTCTTCGCGCGCTACTCACGATTGTCATCCCCTTCTAGCAACTCGCGGAAAAAAGCAGGAACAGGTTCGTCCACCAATTGTGGGAAATATTTCAGAGGAAGCTCGACATCACCGTGCCGACAGCAGTTCCCAAACGTAGCGTTTGGCAACCTAGAATCCTTGATCCGTCGTTCCAGCTTCCATCTATACGCTCCACACCCTTCGCACTGATCACTCTGACGGCCAAGATCAAAAGGAATTTCGTTCCGGAACCGGTGGAGTAGATTGGCTTGACACCCCATGGGTTCAGAACGAATTGCTCGCCCTCGTGCGGCTCTTCTGGGAGGCATCAGGCGCGGTCTCAGATCCTTAGCAAGAGATCGGTAGAAAGATGATCGAAGTCAACCAGACCACGACTCACCACGTGCGCGGTCAGGCCCAGGGATCTATAATCGCCAGATTACAACACCTTCAACAGGAATCGGATTGGTCCTTGCCGACTACTTGGATCGTCTCCCTCGCTGGCGGCAGCCTCGCTTCGATGCCTTGAAGCGTAAACTCAGTGTCATCCTGTGATCCGACATCGCTGAGTTTGCGAGCTGTGACACCTACTTCGCGTATTTATTCATCCAGAGCGTCAATACCAGACGTCAAGGCATGAACAATGACTGATCGTCGGCATTCGTTCCGATTGAGGTTGTAGATCCCATGAGCCGAGCGTTTTTGCGAGAGAGAGCCACTTATGTGTGATATTTTTTGTCACCTGGAAAAAAGTGATCGAGCAGCGGTGCGACAATCACAAAGCCTAGGAGTTTGATATGGAGCATGCACTTGCTTGCCAACACGGATCATACAGAGCTATTAGTTTGAGCTCGCTTTTCCAAAATTTGCCGATTGGTACGCTGGCTTGGTGTGTTTCAATCGATGGCAGTCGGGAGGATGCTCAAAATCGGGAATCCCAGGATGATCACCAACCAGGATGCTCAATTTTGTGCCGTCTCTCTCGAACCTTGGATAAGCAGCGAGCAAGCCTTTTGCCACACTTGCAAGCCCACTTAAACGCGGTACCTGACACCTGTTTATGTAGCTTCCACGCCGGAGTATAGCGAGGGAACATCCGCACCCACGTCAGGGAGCGTAGGGCGGGAAATTTTGAGTTAGTGTCCTGACCTCTTCTGAGCGAGTTGTTACTTCTCCAGATTTCCTGAGGAGAAACTTCGGGAGCTTTATTGCGAGGACCGTAGACTGTAGGTCCCGGGGCTGGTTGAGTGTATGCGTCGGTAACAATCCCTGCTCTCACCTCTTGCGTGATGGCACCTGATACCTCGTGACCTCATCTTCAGTGCATTCAACGTTCGCCTGCACTCACGCAGCGAGACACAATAAGTTGATGATGATCACTCTCCTTAAGAGTCGCACCACACTCTGCACAGAACATGTGTAGACCTCATTGTATGGATCGTGGTTTAGATCACCAAGCCGCGACTTCTTAGTCAACTCAGAGTGTTATGCGCCTATGTCATTCTTAGGACTGATTACGTCTAGATCACCATTTTCAACCGGATCAGCTGGACAGTGGGTTTTCACTGTCGACGGGACCTACGGTAGAGCCAAAAGCACATCCTGACTGGTCACACAAGCACTCGACAAAAGAAATCCGCTTTCGTCTACTGCCGAATGGGAGATCATGAACAAACAATCAACCCATTCAGTGACCTGAGTGTTTGCCTTGTGCTTGCATGGAGAGGTAAGGATCTTAATCCACCCGCGTCTTGTCAATTGCTTATCAAATGCTTGGGTGCGGCGCATGGTTAAGATGCCAAGTAAGCTTGCAACCAAAAACCGCGCTCTCAGAAGCATTACTGCGCCTGGAAGTGTTACATCTATGGGCGATTCGAATCACGAATCACAATTCTGAGCTCAATACCGTAAATACTTTGTCTGTTCTAATGATTGTTAGATGAGGTCGAGCGCAATAACACATGTGCAGCGAGCGGCTGCATTCAAACCTGTAGTGATCATATAAATGACGGCAATAGTAAAACAAATCACAGTGATGTATTGTAACTGCCGTGTGCTTGATGGCGGTCAGTCGAGTTTTGATGATAAACGACACGTTTCATACCCCATAGAACCACATCCAGGACTCTGAACTTCGTCCTCAGTTAGTAAACCCTACACAGGAGGAGTCGTTAGAAAGAACGCTGTTGCTCAGTCTGAGGCACGCTACGTGCTCACCAGAAGTCCCCAGTACGACGGTTGAGTGGTGAAATGGCAGCATATTCCATACACTTCAAACCTCTGAGCCAGAGCAGGATCCTCCACGCGAGCACCTTCATCTATAACAAAAATTATATGCCTGAAGCGAGGCGGTGTCATGAGTGAATGGCCAGGGTAGTTTCTCAAGACTTGCCGCCAATAGTCGTGTGAGCGATCGTAGTCCGTGATGAAGACTTCCATATGCCGAAAGATATTTGATTGAAGCCATTGCAAATAAGGAACCTTACTGCTTGAGTCGATCGTACGGATCAGTCGCAAATGCGGGAAGTCTACGTCGCGGACACCAACAGGCAAACAGTCGGGCAATGAGTCCGTGAACAAGATTCGAAGGGAGCTACGCATGGCCAAGATCACCGAGTGGTCGCGATCGTCGTGCGGGACATATTCGAAAGCTTTTATGTTTTCGCCGATCATTTCGATTAAATGTCTCAGAGCGGTAAGGTTGTTGGGGTTGCACGTTACCGATAAATGTTCGAGTTGAGGGAGGGAACCGGGGGGTGGACTTAAACGGCGCAGAAAAGGGACCTGGAGATACAGAGATCGCAGCCCAGGAGCAGCATTGAGTAGGTCCTTGATCGAGTCTGAGTCGTTGATAGGAACACCGCAGAAGCCCCCAATAATGCTTAAGATTTGCAGATCTTGGGCCCGCTCCACAGCTTTTATGATACCGGGTGAAAACCCAACTGAACCGTTGAACCTGAACCTCACGTCGGTCAAAGTATCACTACACATCGTGATGATTCCTTCGATGTCCTTCATCAGGGTCGAGGAATAGTCAACTTTCCAGTTTTGAAAGCTGAGGCAAGGTTCATTCGTGCGATTCGCAAGGTCCCCTATTTGATATGAGCTGATATGTAAAATAGGATATTCGAGGCGCTCAAAAGATAACCGGCTGAGTCGGGGCATGGTCGCGATGAGAAATGAGTCCTTGAGCGTTCGCGAAAGACTGCTGATCATAAATCTGGAGGACACACGAACGCCGTCGTAAACGTGCGGTAGAACAGCATTCGCCCAGTTTTTGTCAATCAATCGAAAAGTGAGTAATTCCGATACCAATGGTGGTTCTAAATAAGGCTGATTGACACTGTTAATTGGATCGTGTGATGCTTTTGGGGACTGTTCGATGAAGTAAGCCAAGATGTTATCTATAACCTCAATCGGCAGAGCTGGGATAGGCATCGTGGTTGGTGCTAGGCTTGACTTGAATCTTGCAATGGAAGGTTGTAGCAAGGACTTAACTCATTGGTCGACGTTCCTCAGAAGCCAGGATGGTGGCCGAATGATGGGGCGCTTGCTCCACTTGGTTGGGGACACAATCCGTACATTGGGGTCAGTCGCGTTCAGGAGACATAGTATCCTCGCGGATGGTAAAGAACCATGCGTGTATCCCGAATTTTGCTGTGGCGTCATTACTGATGACCACGGATGCCATCTGAGAGCTCAATGAAAGGGTGTCTGCAGGCAATTTCCCTGCAACGGTTGAGTAAGTCCACAGCACAACCCAGGGTTTTGTTTTGGTTACGAATGGAGCTTGTTGCACGTCCTGGTCTCACTACCCAAAATATAATGTAATCCAAACAGATTTCAAAAATGATCTTATTACAAAAATAAATTTCAGATTACAAAATGCTGATTTCATTACAAAAATGCAGTGCATAAATACACATACTAAAGCTCTTAGCTTTTGAACAAAATTATTGTGTAAGAAGCATTCTGTTGGAGTGTTCAGACGAGTTTGGCTGTATGACAATTTAAAAAAATTACCATATCACTCAAGTATATCAGAGATTAAGTAAAGATCTCACAGATTACAAAAAATTATATTCATTACATAAGGATTCTTGAGCAGACAAAAGTATTTTCATTGCATCAATATGGGTCAATGTTTTTGGATTTTGGGTTGGTGATGTATGCAGAAAATGCACAAAGTTGATATTACATATCTTCTGTTCAGATCAGTGAGAATCAGTGTTGCTTAAGCTATGTAGTTGTTGTTGACAAGATGATCAGTTCCAATATTCTAATAAGAAGTCAGTCTTGATTTGAATGACTTGGATGGAGCAAGAATGTGATAGAGAAAACACACAATTTCATTACACAATCTGAATTAACTTCGGAGATCCACAGTCTCTTGCTTTAATTATTTGGTCAGATATATGTCCTCTGTATTACATATCATGCATGTGGATTCTTCTTATATTTTCAAAAACGTGCATGTAAGATAAAAGGGTTAATCAAAATGGCAACCTTCTGATCCATTAACTTCTCATTTGATGAACTCCCATTTTCAACAAGCTCATCGTTCTTCCCTCTCTGGACCTATACCTACTCGTTCTTATCTTGAGACCCTTTAAAACTCATTTATACATCATGTCCTATGCTCAAGTCCAATCCTATGTTTTCCTACCTAAATATATCCTTGATTACGTTGTTGGTGATGACAAGCCTAGAATTGATCCCGACCTCTTCATAACAAAAGCCAATCCCTCCCAAATCGTCGAGGTGATTGTCGCATTTTATCCTCATCTTCAACTTACTGAAAACGCATGTCACGACCATGAACTCCTCTTGAAAATTTTCATTGAAATGGTCGCCCCATGTTTATCCAATTTAGTGTCCTCTTTCGACCGCGAAAAGAACTATGTGCAAGCCTTATTTGAAGCCCCCATTTACACACCTTCTCAATCTACAAGATGGGTTAACTCCGCTGCGGATATCGATACTAAGCGCATCGGAGACTTCGAAGCATATGTTCTCCAAAACTTCAAGAACGGGAACTATCGCCTTGCAGCCAAACAATCAAACTTACAATTTCTCCGGAAGTACAAGTTTCTGAAGAAAGAAGAGATCGAGGAAATCATGCATGTCGAAACTGAAGCCAACGAGGCCCTTCACGAGATTTTACACCTTGTTCAAGATTCCCATGAGTTGATCGAAAGTATCCAGCTTCGTCTGCATCAGCCTAAACTCTCACAAATAGAATGCGAAGACTTTGAGGAGCATTTAAGGAGTGCAAATACTTCATTGAAATCGCGTCAGGTGATGTTTAATACCGCGGTCCAAAATGTTGGATTCATCAATGCATTCATCAAACATCATAAGTAAGTTTTTCATAACACAAGATGGTGTGATCATTCCGGATTTAACTTTCATTAATTGTATAAAATTTCTTTTGTTAGGGATATCCTTGTCAAACATCAACTTAATCCTTCGACCTAGCCTCTCCCGACACCATATACTAAACCACCTGTTCAGAGAATCATACATCATCTTTTTATAGGTTATTTGAGTTGTTCCATTTGGTTTTTGGTTGTTTAAATTGTGTCATTGGAAGATAAGCACTAGTGGTTTAATTATGAGATGAGGAAATGGGTAATTGCTGTAAATGGGGTTTGCTAGTCTGAATATAGGTGTCTTCCTCTTTGCGCGTTCTGATCCTTTTTTCAAGAAGTGGCTCTCTATATTACTTGTGTGCTTTATTTAATCAATAAAACCAGTCAAGTTATTGTCTTTTGAACAGAAGATCCGTGCATTGAGCAGTATTTCCAAATTTTGAGATGATAACAGTTTCACAAAGAACATTATGTTACCAAAATGTCTCATAGATCGCTCAATGATTCCACAGATTACAAAACTTCCCAGATGTGTATTACAAAAATCAATTCCGCGAGAGAACATTTGTATAGTGGTTTATTCAAATCCTATAATATACTACTTGTTTTCCAACATGATGTACTCAACAATCAAAACTCATGCAGGGCACCCTTTTTTTGCAACCCTTGATTTTCCAGAGATAGTATGATTCTGAATTCTGATTGACTATGATTGATGGAACACTGATATTCCGGATTAATTCAACAGATTCAAAGGTAGATGAGATGAGATATGGTGGGCCTTTTGGACAAAGGAGAGATAACAGAAACAAAATCGAGTAAATGAGAAGGTCGTTGACTTGTGACACCAACAATTCAATCAATCATCTTACATACATACACATACACATCGTCAAGTAATTTCTGGTGATTCTTATACATATTCTTTATAGTGATCTCCATAGCATTTTGAGATTCTTCGCAATTGATGATCAACATGTAAGCCAATCTCGAAGCCCTTTTTTCAATTTGTCACATGTTCTGATTTTCTGTTTGGATACCTTTGTTAAACAAGTCTGTTTGTTGCCGCTCATAATTCCACGAGAGAATGCAAGTGCATTGTATCATCTTTGGCTTAAATAGATTGGCAAGTGCATCCCTTTTTCATCCCTCTCCTCACTCACTAGCTGTTCTGGAACATCTTTGTGTGAGCTTTCTCTACAACATCTTCAAACATATTTCATAGTCTTTACATGTGACTGATTGATGTGTTTAATTTTGTTTTGTGTTTTGTTTCTAATCAATCAACACAATCTTCATAGGCTCGACTACTCGCGAGGGGCAAGGGTCGGACTTTGTTGACTATATCACAGTCATAGCTTTGAATTGTGTCCGTTTCAAAATTATCAGGTAAGTAGAAGTCCTTTGAAATTTCTATCAAGATATATTGGATCACCAAGTACAAACCCCCCTATCATGGACACCACGCCCACTCCTGACAGTTTTTTGCATTGTGTCTCTGACTCTCTATCACTAATTAGTTTTGTTGGATCAGGTTGAATCTGATCAAAAGTCTTTTTGATTGTTCACCTTGTCCTATCTTTGTGAGATTGATAGCTGATCAGACGCCTGAGTCGCTCTTTGATTTTTTCATATCTGTAGTTTGTCTCACGATGCCGTCAAAGAAAGGTAAAGCAAAAACCAGTAGTCAACCCAACTCTGCACAGGCCTCTCCCAGCAACGGAAATCAAGCACAGCCACAGGGAGAAGATCTTTCCAAAGTCCCTCCGGCAAACACAAAACCACAACCCACCTTTACCCAAACAACAAACGCTGACTGGATCAAACTTCAGACCCTGGATGATGAACTCAAGATATTTCTGAATGGCGACACCGATCAGAGTTCGGTCACGGCTCTTAAGCTCTATCGAATCATTGTCCACTTTCACCCCAATACTTTGGCGCGTCCTAACAACCGAAAGGACAAGTTATGGGACAAATTCATTTCCGATGTTTTCCCTCTCATCAAGCCTTACTTATTGCCTCCAGCACCTACTCCGATGCAAACTGAGTCATCTGCATTTGACTTTGATCCCCTCAACCGAAAGACTACCCGAAAGCAGCTTGCCGATTCTGTCCATGCAGTCAACCCAACACTATCGGTTCCATCCAGTACTCCCCGTGATCGCTTATTGGTACTATACAAGGCATTCATCGACAAAGACCTCAATCTCCCCTGGCTAACTGAGTATCTCAAAGTCCCAAAGGCTGTTCCGCGTCAAAATGTACAGCGTTTATGTATGGAAGAACTTCGAATGATTTTACAAGACCAAGCACCACATGTATTCATCCATTTAGGCCCAATGACCTTAGGTGTTCTTGTAAATCTCTATATCAGATTTGTTTGTGAGGAACCAGTCAGCGACGACTTGCTTGTTCGAGGTTTTCACTACTCTCTCTTTCGCGAGAAAGCCTGATCTACGGGCTGGTCTTATATTGGTGTGTAACTTAATATGGATTTCATTAATATATATTAGTTCTAAACTCCATTTGATTTTGATGTCAGTTTTTTTACTGTGTCCTCTGCTTCTCATAGTAGTTCCCTGTGTACACCTTGAAAATCTGAATGGTATCAAAGATAGACTTGGCGTGTCTTCTCTTTTTCTGTTACTTACTGTTCGAGAGCTTGAAAAAATGTGTGTGCGTTGCCAATGTAAAGCTATCTAGGATATATCTGATGTGAAATGTGTGCGTGTTACCAATTTAAAGCTATCTAGGATACATCTGGGCAATTTTTTATTTACTAAAAGCTATGTATTCATCCTTATTGAAAACGGTCTCACCTTTTGTGTCTTTTCAAAGGCTTATCTAGATTTTAAATGTCTTGCTGTACTTGTTGTGAAGAATGATCATGTTTGTTTCTCTCTGCTTGGCGTCTAAATTTTTGTGATCCTAAACAATATACCAAATGTAGAAACTGTGTATGAATTACATGATTGATTGGACCTATGTTATCGATATCAAATCGAGTCTTTCTTGACTTATTCACAGACAATCATTCATGTTCAATGATTCTACTTTCTGATCAGAAAATAGATGCATCACATTACTTCCACGTGAAGGGCACAATTTATTGGCCATTTGATTGAGGTTCTTGATATGCACACCCAATTGGAGCGGTAAACGAGATCAGTCTTCTTTAATTTTTCTCACTTCTAATCTACCAATCCATGCAAACCATACTAATCTATCAAACCCATCGGCCTCTAAACCTTCTATCTCTTTCAGTAGCATTGTTTTGTTCAATCAAGCCACTTCATTTTTCGATCGTCTTATATGATTCAACCCTCACCTCAAAACACATCTTTTGCTGAAGTTAGTCCAGTGAACGCGCAGATGATCCGAACAAGGTCATCAATACCTAAACCTTCAATTGGTACGGAAGTTATACCTTACGATCGTAACGGTCAGGTGTTCTCAGTGATCGTTCTAAGTATACTCAGAGATATAGTGAGACAGATCGAGGTAGGCAGACGCGTCATTTTCGCAGTTAACTTACCATCAATGATAACCAAAATGACTACTACGGTAGAGGCACTGGTTCGTTACAAGAGGCCTGCGATAGGCTTAAATAATGTTCTAAATAACAAAGCTTTTCTTGAAACGATACCTCGAAAGGGCAGGGATCAGTTGCTTAACATTTTGGGTGCAACAATCAATGCGCTAAGACTTTCTGACTTCCGTTCAACGATATTCGCGACCATTACTGTACTTTTTAGGGAGCTGAAAAGAATAACCCTTACTTTACCAACTCCTCTTAGCGAGATCGTAGAAGGACTAGGCAATATGATCGTAAAGGACAATAAGTTTGATGTAGATACCTCCAATATGAGACCGAGGGAACGTACTGCAGACGAGATTTTTGTACAAGAACTCAAGAGTAATGACGGAACGAACTTTATTTAGGAGGTCATTGAAGGTAGATCTCAATTCGACGTCTCTGAAAGTTTGTAAATAAACCACAAGTTTATTCTTATTTCTATTTTATTTTTATTTTTACATTGCCTCCACTCCTATGTAGCCCATTTCGCTCGATCCGATCATTTCTATTGCGCTGTATATCGGACACCAAGCAATAGATGGATAAAACCCGACTCCTCATTTCAGCGCATCAAGAACCTTCGCCACATCTTCACAATCGAAGTCGCTTTTGGGGGTGCGAACTCCACTGAACTGCACTCAAATCGTCAAACATCATACTTTCAGCACATTGGTTGAATTTGTAAGTCCAGATCGACTGTTTTTGCTTGATCCTACTTGTCACTTATACTAACTGTCCTTTTGATCACAAATCGGTCATAGTTGTAAGTCAAAAACAATCGTTTGGTCGTTTCACAATCTTTTGATCTTTTCTGTTTTATCACATCTATCTACTGTTTTCACATATTCAAACTATTCATTCTCATCATCCATAAACATCGCTGGGGTACACAAGGGCGCACTGACAGGTATCGGGCTGCCACTTCCCCAGCTTCGGTCTTGTGGTGGGGATTGACAGGTTTCAAACCCACCCAGCCGATTGTCTTCCTTACTCTCGCTTTGTGATCTGTTGATCATTTGTTTGATGTTCATCATTGAACAACATCCAACTAACCGATTGATTTATTCATCAGCAATGCCTGCTGAGCGAAACAGTCCATCAATTGTAGTTGGGCCACTGCCATATCCGAGTAAGTGATCAGAAATCATACTGATCTGACTTCTTACTGATGCTCCTTTCTGTTGAAGCAGAGAGGGCACCACCACGAAACCCTCATGTGGCACCTCAGTTCAAACCCAGAAAGCCAGGCCATGAATATCCCAACAACAACATGCTCAGCTCAGTCTGCGACCAATACCTTCGTCAGATGTTGGCCAACATCAAACCAGAAACGATTGACTTTGACATCGCAGTATCTCACTTCTTACACGAAACTTCACATCTCAACCTTCGAGATATTCCCCACTCTGTTGATCAAGTTATCTTCGACTTTGAGACCCTTCGTCCACTGGTCAGCCGTCAAGACGATGTCTACACTTGCGCTCTACATATCAAGTCCACCATCAAACACCACCGGGCTACCCCCGATTCGCCATTACCTTTTGCTCTGCGCTATCCGAACTTGAAATCGCTCCAACAACTCACAATCAATCGCTCCAAGGCTCCTCGTGCACTCCCTTCAGACAAGGCAGCAGTTTTGGTTGATTTAGCTGGGCGGTTGTTAGTGATAAACCTTCCTCCCAAATACCCAGCTGAGACCCTAAGGACGCCTGCCGGGCACATGACTCCAGAGGTGATTTCACGTCTTTACACATTTCTCTAGTATCGATTTCAAGTGACTTTTGGCTGATGCACATATCTATGGGTTGTAGGCGCGAGCACTCAATGCATTTGAAGGAGCTGCTGATATACACAATTTACCATCATTCGACGAATCAAATGAAGACGACTCACTCAAACCCCCAGCCTCGATCGAAGATTTTGGCGCCGCAAGACTATCCCGAGGTAAAAGCACACCTGTGGCAATCCAAGGGGCTGTGTATGGGTCACTGCCATATGTTGCTTTCGGATACTCTTTGGGCTCAGTAAGTGAACATGACCAGTACGAAATGTTATCCTCATCGTCACCTGTGCTGACTGTTATCAACCAATAACCATATCAGCCTGATGCACGTGCTGATACCAAGTACATGTTTGGACGTGAAAGGCAGGGGTGGAAGCTTAATGATGTTGGAGCAGGACCTCAGGAAGATCGCCATCTGCCTCTGCCCATGGGTCTTGGAGAAGAGTCGCTTTTCAAACGTATCAAAAACGGACGCATACATGATGAGCTTCACTGGCCCTACGAAGTCTCACATGCTCTGAATGCATCTGTGAATCCTAAGACCTTTGAGGTTGCTGAGCGGGTTGTAAACTTCATTGGTCAGAACTCTGGCTCAATGCTTTCAAAACGAATCAGCACTTTGGAGAACAAAGTGATTCAGGGTAAGTCAACCTTTTCTTATGCTCATTCCAATTGTACAGACGTGTTTATACTCTGATATTATGCTTGACATTAGGGCAGCAGATAAACTATAATTTACAGGTAGCTCCCCACCGCGATGGCAAGAACTCAAACCTGCTGGATTCGGTCTTCTATCATGGAAGGAATTATCAAGGCGGTCGCTTGATATTTCCTGTACTTGGGGTCAGTGTCTGTGCTGACCCAGGTTACTCGGTTCATGCGAGATTCAAGTTTCTTGAACATGGTGTCAGCAGCATTTTGCCAACAGATTCTACATCTCCCCCACTCCGCATTTCCCTAGCTCTATACTCACACGCTCAGCTCTACGCCAGTGTTGCAAGAGTCTCGGCGGCTAGGAATGGCCTACATTTCAGTGACACAGAGATGTGGCTGCCATTTCCACCACCTAACTTTTCCATTGATGTTTGCCGCAAGATCCTGAGGAAGCAAGAGAATAGTTGGAGGAAAAAAAAGATAGAATGATTTTGTGTTTGCTTGATTAGTTTCTGTTGATCACGGTCACTACCTATACAATAGCAGTTTTTTTTGCTTGTTTAGTTTTGGTTGTTTACACTTGTTTAACTTTGTTTACTAACATCAGAAAAACCCAATATTTGTTTGCCAAAAGTTGTGTTAACCTGGGAAGATAGAAAGAAAGGTAAAGTGCTCCCCATCCTGACCAGAAATCAGATCACTCAGGCTTGTGGCTGGAGACCAATTAGTACATCCATGTAGATTGAGAACCTCTTTATCTTAAGAGGTGTCCAAAAATTAATAAGTTATCGAAGTTAGTAAAGATATGATTTGAGGGAAAATTCATAAGGAATGGGGCTTAAAATAATGTGAAATTAATCAGTTAAAATAATGTGAAATTAATCAGCGCATGATGGCTGGGCATCTTCACATAGATTCATGAATCACAAAAATCAAGCATGTACATCAATTATTCTTTTCTGTTTAGGAAGATTGGATGCAGAAAGATTGTCCGGTACACAAAAGTCTTCAGACTGTTTGCATCATCATGATCTACATTCAAATTGGCCATCTACATGAGACATGGTAATCTTAGATTGAGTCCAGCCTTTTTGAACAGTTTGATCACCTGCATGAAAGACTTGTTTAAGACTAAGCTTCCAGGCCAGACCAATCACCCAGCTAATAACTCTCTCTAGAATCTAGGCTTAGGTGAAGCAACTAGTTTGAGTTCAATATTTTACGGACAACATCCACATGAAGCTGAGAACCTTCAAGCAATGATGTTCAATGAACAAAACTCAAGCGTGTGATGTGCTCTTGGATGAATCCCTAGGCCTTGCAATTTCAATTTGTTTGTTAAAAATGTTTCCCTTAATCCCATTTTTGAGTCTAACAATGATAGTGAGTGTCAGCTAATCTCATACAATAGATCTCTCTGATGACTCCTGACCCAACTGCTAGGCCTTTCGAATTTCATTCATGTTCTCAAAATGATTTGTTTTATCTGTCCATTTGTCACATGTTTATATGTCTGGACTAATTGTACCGGAGATCTCCTAGCCTCATACATTGATATCCTAATGATGCTCATGAACACCCGCAAAAATGATAAATACTTACCATCATGATGACTTTGTTTGGCATGTTCCTGCAGATTTATTTCCTTTTTTTGTCAAAATGCCTCCTAGAACTAACAAACATAAAGATCCTCATCGAGTACCTTGTCGTTGTCATATCTATCAATGTTATCTCGGGAAGTTTCAAGATGCGTATGGGGTGACTCAATCTGGTGTTGAGGTCTTACCTGAGACTTTCGAGTCTCATCAATTGGCCAAAGCAAGACAAAAAGCAATGTCTAGTTTGCCTTCTCAGAACAACCAGGAAGCCCCTCCAGTACATTCTAATCGCACAGGAGAAGTTCATCAAGATATTCTTGTAACATCTCTTTCATCGTTAAATCTGACAAATGCTACTAGGATATCAACAACTAATGCTCGAGCAGAAGCATCACGCGCAAGTCTTGACAGGTTGCAATTGGATTCATCAGTAGATATCTCATCCAATGAGAGGACTACAGCAAGTCCTCCTCCTCAAGAACGTTCTCCAGTGTCCTCCAATATATGTATGTCTGCATCAAGAGCTAGAGACAAAGGTGTGAGGGTATACGATTGTGGTGAGATAATTTCCTGGATTAGACCTACCTCCAGCTTATAATAAGTTTTGATCTCATTTTTTGATCGACGCCCTTGAACAGAGAAGTTCCACACATTTTTGTTGCGAGACATGAATCCGCTCCTGCTCCAGGTGGCCCTGATGGCAGCTCTTTTAAGCATATTCGGCAACATATCAATGTCTACAGCTTTGTGGCTCTTAGACTGTTTAAAAATAACTATTGAATTAGCGTTGACACAGGGAATCAACCCTCTTCGCACTGCTACCAAACTTAGGGATCCTGATGCAACTAACTTGTCCCGAATCCCAAAAACAATCACAACAGTCATCGGATGGTTGAGAATTGATCCAAAGTTGATTGAGATGAACTGCTGTCAAGCATGCTTCGCTCTGTATCCACTTGACCGGACTCCAAGACAATGTACTCATTTGATTTCAAGAATCCCTGGTGGACCACCAGAAGTCGATCCTGACACTCAGAAAATACCGTCGGCAAAAGACTACGAACCAGATCTCTCTGAATTCTCCGAGGCAACATGCGGGCAAATTCTGACAAAAGTAGCAAGAGGAAAAGTTGTTCCTGTTCGAAAGTTCGCATTTCAAAGTTTATCGGAATGGATTGCACGTCTCTTATCTCGTCCTCAGATCGAAGACTTACTGGACAAGTCATTGGTAGAGTCTCGCAAACCCTTTGACCCCAAAAAACCCATCAGTGACATTCACGAATCAAGAATTTGGAAATCTTTCCGTGGCGCAGATGGAAACCAGTTTACTGGCACTAGCGGACATCTTACATTTGGGATGTTTATTGATGCAATAAATCCGTATGGAAATAAGATAAGTGGACATCATGCATCCATCACATTTATTGTGATGGTGTGTCTTACCCTTCCCCTAGACATTCGACACCGACCGGAAAATATATTCATAGTTGGCATCGCACCAGGCCCTTCTGAACCGTCTCTAGAGCAAATGAATTGGATCCTACTTCCAGTGGTGAATGAATTAAAAGCTTTATGGAATCCGGGTCTACTCCTATCCCGCACCCATACTTACAGATCTGGCCGTCTCATTCGAGTTGCACTTCTTCCATTTATTGCGGACATTCCTGCTGTCCGACGCTCTCTGGGTTTCCCTAGCGCAACAGCAACTTACTTCTGTTCAAGATGCCTGATAACAAAGAAGGACATCAACATATTAGATAAAAGCAAATGGAAAATGCGCACACACTGTCAACACAAAGTTTGGGCATTTCAAGCTCGTGATTCAAAAACTGTAAAGGAGCGGCAAAAGATCTTCAAGAGTCATGGTGTGCGTTACTCAGTATTAATCGAGCTTGAATATTGGAATATCATAGATTATCACGTAGTGGACTCAATGCACAATCTTTTGCTGGGTCTTATCGCATGGCATGTTCGACGATTTTGGGCCATGCAGGATGAGCATAATGACGATGAAGATTTGAAACCAATAACAAATGTTGAGCTTCAAGATCTTTTCAACGAGCATTCTGAGGCAGCCCATACACATGGAAAGAGTCAGGATCAAGGAGTAGAAAGTATCCATTTTGAAACGAATGAGGAAGAAGATGCGTGTAATATCAATGATGCATCTTTTGGAAACAATACCTCTTCAAGTGATGATGACTACAACCCTCTTAATGATAGTGGATGGGATGGGAAATGGGAGGCTCCACCTTTTGAAGAAATCATATTTGATTCCACAATGCTCAAGAAAGTAAATCATTTCCTCCCACGCATCCATATTCCTACTTGGATCAAACGTGCCCTGAAGGTTTTGGGCAAAGCTTCATTTGGAAAGCTGAAAGCGGATGAATGGAGAAATCTTCTCGCTATCCAATTACCACTTATCCTGATTCCAATGTGGGCAGATTGTGATCAAGTGAAAACATCTCTTCTTTATAATTTTCTGCATCTAGTGTCACTTGTTAACCTTGCCCTTAAGCGTAATATCACATCAGATCACATAAAAAGCTATGATCACCATATATTGAAGTATCTTGAAGGATGTCTCAAATTGTTTCAACATTGTAATCTAGCTCCCAACCATCACATGGCGCTTCACTTGACTGAACTACTTGAGGAGTTTGGACCTGTACGAACTTGGTGGTCCTTCTTTTTTGAGCGCTTGATGGGTAGCATTCTTAAAGGCTGCCACAACAATCACATAAGTGAGTAAACATTCCAATTGACAGATTTCCAACTTTTTCCTCCATCACAAGCTTACTTGTCAAACTTCATCTGCCATTAAATAGGCGAGCTCGTGATAACCTTCCTCAAGAATTACTCTTGAGCAGGGAATTTAGCTGCTCTTTTGCATGATGATACACTACCTGACGCGCTGAAGCCCTATCTCTCTAGGCTACAGTCTTTATATGAGCCTAAAGAATCTACTGCAAAGCGCCTCTCGAACTCAAACATGCAGCCTATCAGACATGATATACTCAAAATCTTAGTGGAACGCTTGAACAATGAAGAAGATCAGCCATATGAATGGATGATTCCTGAAGAGTATAATTTGCTTTCAGATGATACTGCTCTCGGATATGAACCAATTCTTCCTCAAGCATTCTTCTACAAACGAATTATGCACAATGGTGTGTCATATGCAACTTTTAGTGCGAGTCAGGAGGACAGTTTCATAGAGTTTACGGGTTCTTCTGGAATCCGCAAGTTTGGACGCATCTTCTCAATTTTCATCCATCGTCGGTCTCCAACTCCATCAGAGAACCAGCTCGACACGTGGCTTCATGTCCAAAGTTTTCCCCCAATACCAAACACTCTGCAAGGCTTCGATCCCTTTCGTCACGCCAAAGGATTTCATGCTCAAGCTTATTTACAAGCATGGGGACCCACTAAAGACTGTATAGTCAGCCTGGATGAGGTTGTAGCACATTGTTCTTGGGTGATGTTCAAACCTGGAGAAATCCACCCAAAGATCAACATTCCTACCGTAGGTTTGGTTTCGATGAACCGATGATTTGTAGAATCATCTGTTCATCACTCAATTTAACAATTTTTTTGTGATTGTGTGTGTCCACACTTGAAAGTGTGTTCCATGTTTTAATTTCATTTTTCTTTTCTTTTTGAAAAAGACATCGATTTGTATGCCTATTCAAGATTCATTTACTTTTCAAAGTGTTCAATATCTCAAGGCTTACCATCTGAATCTCAACAGTGTATATAGTTATCTGTTCATCCCGATAGGGGCTTGTCCTGGCGATAGTTATTTCTATTTTATACACTTGAGCAATCATGCTCTTAGATTCTACTTTACCTACAACAAATGAGATATGATTTGAACCAGAAAAATACAACAAAAGAAATTGTGTTTCATCTCAAAGTGAATTCAAAACCTGTACCATCTTGGACAAAATACACTCAGGGCTGATGTTCCACATCAATTCACCTTTTTCACCAATCTCTTCCAGGAAGGACGATGAGTAGCAATCTCTGGATAGTCCGTCTGGTGCCTCAATAAGACTCTCTGTTGCATTTTCACGGCGGATACGAGGGCGTGCTGGGCGTCCGCGTTGTGGTGAACTCGAGTTTCCTGGATGACTCTGGTCTTGCTTAAGCTTTTGTCCATCCAAGCAAAGTAAGACCTTTTCCAGGGCCGCACTACGCCAAGAGAGTTTACGAGCACAAATTGGACCCTTACTCGGTATGAGGAGCTGACCCTCTTCCACGTCGGTCTCATCATCACTACAGGCTACCTCAACAAGAGGTAAAAGAGGCCAAAGTCTTTCCTCCTGAAGTACAATCGTTGTTCGCATCTTTCGCAACTGAACGGGGTGGGCGCTAAGGTAAGTTGATCTTTTATGAGTTTCAAGAGGTCTTGAAGGAGAAACCCACATGACATAGTCTTGTTGCTCGTCGGGTATCTCTAGTCGCAGCTTCTTTACGCTCGTTGGTCCAATTCTGCTGACGATACCTGAAAAGAATTTGTCAATAGATCAGTTTGTGGTGTGTGAGTAGGTGAAGATAAATTGTAATGTTGCACCTTTTCATCAGACTCTGTATGTGTGTTGAGAAACATTTCTTGATGTATCCAATATTGTCCGGATCCAGAGACACCCCGCTATATATACCTAATCTGACCAGCTTGAAGAAGATTTTCTCCGAAAGGTTCCACACACGTTTGTTTGGTTTTGAACTTGGTGATCCAGCCAAGTTTGGTCGGAAGCTCTTGATCCGTGCTGCTTTCATGAGCTGCCACGTGACTGATAATTGTTGACGAGTCGCTTTTTGATGTCCAGGTCCGCCTGGATATGGGAAACATAGGTCTATCCGAGGATCTTGATCGAAGGGCTCTGTTGGCTGCTGAAGATCTATCTCAACGTGTTCAAGGTCCAATTCACAATCCCATCGCTCCTGCTCTTCTGGGCTGGCTGGCGGGGGGAGAGGATCAGACTCTGATTTCAATCCAAACATCATCTCTACATGAAAGCGGATATGTGCCTGAGTATGGCAGGAAGGATCAAGTGAGCTGCCAACTTATCAACTTCGAAAGTTTCAAGAGAATTGAGAGACACTTACTGCTGTACGTCCCCCACCAGGCTTTGCTTGAGCATCCGCTTGACCTTGATTACCCACTGACCTCTTTACAGCCTCCGATAACCTCTTCAGTTCACACTCAAGTAAGTCAATCCTTCTGTTTGCCCTGAGTAACAAACCTTTCATTTGCCTCCATGACTCTGTACTGGGTTCTTTTGAGAATCCCGTTCTAGGAGCTGTTTGAGATTGAACTGATCAGAAATCTCATTTTTTGCTGTGACACATAGGCGCAACCCACTTTCTTTATTCCTTGTTTCACCATCGGAATTGACGTCAGGTGGCACACCTCCTTTTTCTTTTGATTCCTGATTTCGATTAGTCCCAGTGCCTTCAGTATCAGACATTTTGTCGTCTTCAGGAACATACTCCGAATCAGAGTGTACCTGCTCTCTCTCTTTACCTTTATTTGATGTTGACGGCAATAATTGTTCTAAAGATGTTGGTTGGGGCCGAGGGTACCTAAGTCGCCCGTGTTCTAAGCTGGGGATGAACGTATCCGAAGGCTCATCCACAATGATATCGCCAGTTGATCCACCTGAGAGAATATAGCCATGCTATTAAACATCATTATCACTCGAATGATGCAATGTACAAAGCAGAAACTCACCTGGTACAGAAGATTCAGAGAGGTTCTTGGAACCGGTTTGTAAGTCTATTGGTTGACAAGAGATCTTGATTAGCTGATTCCACAATCAACAGGAACAGGGCGAATGAGACAGAAACGAACCCTTATCTACTTCTTTTGATGTTACTTCGAAAGTGAAAGATGCTTGTTTGCCCCTGATCTGCGATGTTGACTGGATTGGCACCTTGGGCTCTTGTTGAACCAAACTCGTGGGGAGCACAACTCAGAGCCCAATCAAGTTAGTGACCTTTGTGTGTGGTTCAATCATTCAAGTTGTGATAGACAAAACTCACTAAGATCTTTGTAAAATCCGCAAGTTTCAACCAATCTATCTTTTTCCATTCCAGAAGCGTCTATGCCGACATCACGCAAAATCTCTACCAGCTCATGCTTGTCAAATTTGTTGTAGTTGACTTCGGTACTTGGAATTGTATCAGAAGTAACTTCTGGAGATCGAACAGTCACATCTTTGTTTTCAACCACACCTGAACGAGGCCGTTTTTTTGCTGTTTTTTTCTTTGAATGTCTTGCTTTCTTCTTGGTGATGTGATTGTCAAGGAGCTCCAAGAGACGTGTTCGCGACCGCTTTCCTGATACATCGATCTCTTCAAGAGCTTCTTCGGAGCCTTCTTCTACACCAGAAAAGGTATCAACGTGAGATTAGAATAAAAAAGCTTCGTATGTGGACAACCAGTACACGGAGGCTTCATCTCACCTTCATCTGGTTCCACTGGTCGATTTTTCCGTTTCTTTGACAGTGCCACCACAGCTGGCTCATCGGTGTTATCTTCAGGTCTAGAATTGGTGGCTTGCTTTCGAGTGATCCGATTGCTTGAAGGAAGCTTCCGGCTGGCCCTTGGTTTTGGTGGCATGTGTGTATTAAGGGGTGAATGGGTGAGAAAACGTCTACAGGTAATGTGAAAATCTAGATCTGCAGCCCTTGGAAAGAAACAAACAAACGATTCAAATTTGGGGCTGGAGGTTATAAGAGGTCTCTTTGAGACAACTTGAGTTTCCTAGAGATCATTGTGAAGAACTTGATCAGGTGATTTGGCAACTGTTGCTGCGATCAAAATCATTATCAGAGTCATCACAAGGTGAAGTCAAGCAAAAAGAGGCTTGTTATTTATCGAACTTGAATCCTTTATGTTATTTTCATCTAGGTCACAACAAAAGAGAATCAAGATCCTCTTGATCATTTGTTGCAATCTCGTTGCAAGTAATGACTATCAATTTTAATTTGATTACTTTTTAGCAAAGATTTCATAGGTACAATCAGTTTCTCATTGTTTCATAAAGGAGATGTCAGTGATGTGTTTTGTCTTCATTCCTTACTAGCCAAAGCTTACTTGCAAAGATTGTTCGCAAATCCTATCAACTTCCTTCTAGTGTATGTGAGCAAGACTTTCATTGAGGGTCATGGTAATCATTGGATTTCAGAGCTCTTTGGAACATTTGATATATGTTGATATATACCGAAATCTCAATTACAAGAGTTTCTCATGACCACACGGCCTTCCTGGATCATCACTGTATACCTTCCATCACGATGATTTATTGCCAGTTAGTTTTAACCTCTGCATCAGTGCGAGAATACTGTTTATGACAAGTTGAGAGAATACGGGTCAAAGACAAAGAAAATTCAAAACATTTCATCTTGATGCCGGTGTGTGTTAATCAATTCTTCAGCAAATTGAGTGATCAAGGAGCTTTTACAACATATACGTATGTCAGTTCACAAAACGCTTCTTTTATTTCAATAGTCAGATATATAGCAATTTAGTACTTATCGGACTCTTGACTAATAGACTAATCAAAGATGGAAAGTGTATACCTCCCCCTAAACATACATGGGAAAGTGAGTGAAAGATAAGATTTGTGATAAATCGCAAATCTTATACATATACATTGATGTCCGGTATGATCATTTCATATTACCAGAAAGATGAAAATGGTGGCACAAGGAAAGAGTAGAGCATTTTAAGACTCGTTAGCATTGGAATCATCATCTTCCGAGCTTGTTTCCACTTCCGCTGGCTCCATAAGCCTCACAAACATATCCTCATGGGTAGAGATCTCCCGCATTGCTCTCCCCAACTGAGTACGTAATTTGATCACCTCGTGTTCCAAGGACTTGAACTTCTCTTCAAGTGTTGCGATTGCCAAGACTTTGCTTTCAACACGTTCAACGCGGTCCATGTTGCTTTGCATGTTGGAAATCGAGTGATCTGGTAAGCATCATTCAGCTGGATGATCTGCATAGTATCACATGAGATCGCAAACAGACAAACCATGCTTTTCAAGCTGCATACTGTGTCGAAAACAATTTGTTGTATTTAATTCGAGTTTTTCACCCAACTGGGTTGTAGAGCATTCAAGCGCAGAGACTTGGGGGGAGAATCATGCAAACATATGTGAGCAAAGTGTACAAGATGTATGAAGAGATCTAGAAGACTTACTGCGTTCTTCGCGGCCTCTTTCTTCAAGAAATATATCAACCCCGGATTTTGCGCTGCCTTTGGCTGTGTTCAAAGCCTTGTTGGACTTTGCGAAGGCGATTGGTGGAGTTTCCTTGCCGATAACTGAAGGGGCAATAGTGTTTCAGTCAAATACAAGCAAGAAACGAGGTAAGACTCAGAATACATACCTAGATTTCCAGTGTCCATGATCTCTGAATCCGAAAAGTCTATCAAGTCCCCAACCTGTTTGTCTTTAATATTCTCACCCTTGCTCGAGACACAAGGTTCCTTTCTGGCCTTCGTTTGGATGTCTTTAGCTGAGAATGAAACGGCTTTTGAAGACCTTTTTGAAGATCCTTGATTGAGCTTCGAATCACTCAAGTCCTCTTCAAAACGATCGATTTTGCTACTTCCGTTGACATCTCCTGAACCTTGGGACACCTGAGATAAACATGAGTCAGACAGTGACCCATAAGGACCAATAATACATATACCTGATCCTAGCGATATGCTCAAGAATCTGTGTACAGTATCAAAATCACTAACTCCAGGTACGCCACCACAGACTGGTTTAAATTGTAAAATTCGTGGGCTCTTTGAAAGCAGGACGCATTTGTTTTAATGGCCAAAGATGATAGATGTGAAAAGTAAAAAAGAACTCACTTTCTTTTCAGACGATTTGGTCTTGGTCTTCCGTATGGGCATTGCCTGATCAACCTCTAAAAAAGCATTTATGACCAATCAGAGGTCTTGCTTGATCTGAGGATAAAAGCGGAATAAATGGAATGCGCACCTTCCACCTTGACATGCTTCACATTTGGTTTGAGTTCTGCAGAAGCAATGCGCTTTCGGCTCCAATCCATATCGACGGTGTTTTCAACGACACTTGAACCTTCCTGAGGTGTTCTGAGGGTCTCGATTTGCAGGTGGCGAGATCTACCTGTTGGGATTGGAGGGACGCGAATGGGATGGCGATTTTTAGCTTGTGATTCAGATTTCACTTTAGTTGTAGGTTCTCCACAGAGAGGTTGAATCGTAATGCTGGGATTGAGAGCCGGTGCCTCGCTATGAGGATCGGGAAAGACTATTGATGTATGATATTAGAACCAGATGAGTATTAAAAAGCTTCCAACCATGTACAATAGAGCACTTACATTCAGGTTGCATCCTCCGCACCGTAACTGCGATTTCGTTTATCCCGAGCCTCGTATTGAAGGGAGTCAGAGGATGATTGATGTGCATCCAGTCAATCAACATCTGCTTGCTCACCCCTGGAGCGCTTGGGTCAAGTACTTCGGGCATATCACTGTCTGCATTGATAGTCAAACCAAGCGTGAAGACAATTAAGCCATAGTTGATGGACAGAAAGGCGATTAAGAAGACACATACATACTCTTGTTCAGTGACTAAGTCAATTTCAAGGAAGAGAGTGTATCCCAAATTACACTTGTGTGTAATGCAGGCGAGTAAAGACAAAGTTGAGAGAATGGAAGACAATGGTAAGAGAACGGAAGACAAAGTTGGAAAGCAAGGAAATCTGAAGAGTCCAGAGTTTGTTGGTGAGAATCGGATGCCAACAAATTTCAAACCACAAGAGAGTAATTGTACCCTGCCAAACTCCACTCGAAAGATGCTTTGCAAAAGATAACACACCAGGAGTTAACCTGCATATAAACTCTGAATACAAACCAGCCATCTTTAAGATTAATTGTGTGTGACTCACGAAATGATTCAATTTGTAGACTGTAGGAAGACTGCACTTGTGGAATATCAGAGATGCAGGTGTAAATCTGTTGAAAGACCGCACTATCATAATTTGCGCACTGTTACATATATATGTGGGTCAATAAATCTGAATGATTCTATTCTTAATTAACTGTAGAAGGGAGAAGTCCATCATTGCCCAATGATCATATGAAATTTGAGTCAGTTTCATAACAAATAGAATGACTGGCACGCCAGTTCCTGCAGTTTGACTTCATCAACTTGAGATAGACTCTTGCCGAAGGTTTGGCTTTTTGGGAATCTCCAAGACACAAGTGTCCTACTCATGGATGAGAATTGCTGAGTATCATGGATTATTCATACTGTGCTTAAATTTCATTTTCATTACAAAATGCAATTTGAATGAGCTTGATATAATAAACAGTACTGTCAACACCTTAATCACCGAGGTCGAGGACATCCTTTCTGTGCTTAGCAAGTCTCACCGGGTGTTTGCATACACTTGCATGTTGTGGTCTTTGGATGACCGCTCCAGTTAAAGAGCTTGCAAAACTTGCAGCAACACTTTCAAGGGAGACGTGAGTACATATATTTTGACTAAATCCAATCACTCCAAATGTTATTATGATACCATCCACTTGATTTTTGATTCTATTCCTCTTCTTCATATCCTCACCGCATTCAACACAGGAAATGCACTTGTTATTTGGAGGAGGCTCATGCTGCATCAAATCTTGAACCTACAACCCCCGAGCTAGTCATTCCAAGTAAAATTGTTTATTTTACCTGCTGCACTTCAGTTTCTTGCCGATTAAAATTCAAACCAAGAGTACTTATATTTCTGTTGGAACAAGGTTTTGCACAAACATCAAATTTCAGACTCCATCTGACCTCTTTCTTTATTCCTTATCAAACCCAGAAATTTAAAAAACCTGGCCTACACTTGTGTAATGTAGGTGTTTTTGTGATGTCTAGGGTATTTACGTAATCTCTGAGGGGATTTTTGTAATGTGAGAAATTTTTGAAACACTGAAATAAAGCCTTGCTCCTCTGAATATCACACTGAATGGCTGGTCCTAAATGTGGTTATTGAGACTTTGTGACATCTACTATGATGATGCTTGGTGTATCTACATGTTTCATTTTTGTAATAACATTCTATTTTTGTAATCTGTAATTTATTTTTGTAATAACATCATTTTTGAAATCTGTTGGGATTACATTATATTTGGGGTAGTGTCTAAAAACTCCGCCTGTGAACACAGATCGCGGTGGTTTGGAAAACTTATTGTAGGCTAATAAGATTGGAGCCCCACTCCCATTGCCCAGCAGACATAGATTTTAAAGCCTCTTGCGTACGCGCGTTGGTTCATAAACCTTTGCAATTAGGGGCTGAGCAAAGGTACTGGACAAAGGACCCTGCACACGTTTTTTGGATCAAGGCCCAAGGGGGAGGGGAGCAAGCAGTCAAAAACCAAGTTTTGTTGATTGTGCGTGCAGTGAAAGCTCGGCAGCAGTAAAAATGAGACAAATGTATTTTTGTTGTTTTAAAGATTTTTAAAGAAAGAAAATGAAAATGTAAAAGGAAAATTTCTACGGGTGCGGGAGTCGGTGCTGACAGAGCACATTTGTGTAATTTTGGGAATTTATGAAAGGAAGATTGGTTTACAAAGCACAATGGATCT